TACGTTGGAACAACTCCCTTCGGAGATCTGTTGGACGAAATGCTAACCTTTACTCAAGAACTGTCGCTACGACCGTCATCGTCGTATATGTCTGCTACCAGGTCTACTCTAGAGTAGTACTTGATCCGTTGGAGCGTGCTGCTATCGAAGCGCTGAAGGACATGCCCGAAGAACTCGAAGAAGAAGATCACAAGCCAATGTTCATTCCATTTCCCGGAACTACGAAGCAGCTGAAGCCGAAAGCATACCGTGGGAGTGATCCAGAATGGCAGGAATTTATTAAATTCAGCAAGGATCAGAAGCTCGCGCAGAAGGTTAGAGGTTAGTGATCAAACTTCCCATATCTATGTCTGCTGTTGACACATTACAGAGGACCTCGCAAATTATGTTAAGCAAGTAGCACTTCGGCACCCGGTTCTCGCAATACGGTGTGGGAAACAGATGAAGTTAAGACGATACTGGCTGGATGTCGACTTTCCTCAACATGCTCCACCGGAGTTTGAACGATCAGGGTATGTACTTTAAACTTACCTTTGGAAGAAATGCTTACCAATTCCTTATCATAGCATAGAAATTGGGGATGATTATATCACCTGGGGAACACAGCCCGTCGACTCTCTTACTGTGTTCAGACTCCGTCAAGCTTTATGGCCAGTAGCATTGATTCAGTCTTTCTGGAGCTTTACTAAAGTCATGGTGGTTGATGATGCGAAAAGAATCGCAGGGATGCTTGGGATTAGATCGAGCTCCCCACCGCCATCGCTCGAGCAGATGCTGGCTCGCCACCAACAACTCATGAAAGGGCCTCAGATTCCATCAAAGGACGGTCCTCCTACACTAGCTCAACCAAACGGGGATGCTACGAAGGCGATCACTGCAGCTACTACACCCGAAAAATCCACTGTTACAGGGAAGAAGGAGAATGAAATGGAAATCTCGGCTGCCGCAATGGCTATCAATGGACATTTCTTCCGTGCCATCATGGCTTTCAAGGCAAAAATGGCCCAAACGTGGCGGCCTGCACCGAACTACCCACCGAGGGGAAGTATTCTAGTATCTGGCTTGGTAGAATTGGACTCACCGAAAGCCTGGTTAGTTTTTGACGTGAAGGCGGCTTGGGATCCAAAGACAAGATCGTATGATGCGAGAAGTATGCATCTTCAACTAAGGAGAATGCAGTTAAAGAAGCAGGGTCCTATTGGCGGAGCATAATTGGGGCAATTCAAAGGCGTTTACAGGTATGCTGGGGCATTGCAGGTGTAGGTAAAGGTTTGGGTGCGAGACAGTATATCGATCGGTCCAGCACCTAGTTACGAGTGTGTTTACTTGATGAAATACAGATACCTTCTCTTCGACCAATTTCGCAGCTAATATCACTTATCACAGAGCTTCAGCTTTGCCACAAGCTAGTGCTCACAAGGTAAACTGCTTTCCTCTCCCTTGTCTTCCGAGCATTCTATGTTTGCTTTTCCGATATAGGGTATAAGTGGAGGGGAAATCCACACTGTGGCTTCTTCTAGCGGATCTTGTATTGTCTGTCTGAGTGCCATCGAGTTGGTATGCAATATCACTTGTTGTCAATTCAGGCCCTCGCACCAAATTTCATATGTGGAACAACACACGCATGTCGTTCGAGTTTTGTCGCTGGTAGCACCAGTTTCTACAAATTTTTGAGAAGAAAATTGCTGTCAATATCTAGGAGTCCAAGTCTGGACGTCATCACATATCCTTCTATCCCGTTCTTACGTTTGCTTTAGTAGGCGAGAGACGTCCTGACATGTAAGCAAAACAACGGAGTCTGGAAGTTTGCATCTCCCCATGTTCCGTGAGAATTGGCCACTTCTTGCGCCCGGAGCAGTGCAGCTCCAAAACACCAACCTCGTCTTGGCAATGCATGAGTGATCACTAGCCATCTTGCTTTTAAATGATCATGCCGTACTTGGCTCCCACAAAATGCGTGCAATTGTGAGTCTAGCATAGAGTTCTAACATTTGTCGTCAACTATTTGCCACTGTCATCTTCCATTTTCTGTCTCAAAATTTGTTTACACTTATGGTTTAATATGCCGACGCGAGGGAGGGTGAGTGTCGACACTCCTGACTACAAGCAGCTTTGAACTCCACTTTGACGGATTTATCTTCTCCTTTCTATCGCCCGAAGAGTACTCTTGGTGACGCTTCAAAGTTTTTGTTTTGTTTTATTGCCCACAATATCAATTCCTTGAGAGATTGTTGATGTCAGCCATGGACCCAAGGCTTGGTCATTATAGCAAGAAGTCTTCAACGGACGCTGCGCTGGAATAGATCATCAATTCAAAGTGGAGTCAAGGCAAGTGCATATAGCAGGCAAAGATTCATCTCGCTTTTTGAAATGGGATGGAAGTTATTCGGCAGAGAGAAGAAAGGCACGCCGGCCAGTATGTATTGGTGGTATCTATTTACAGGATGAGAGAGTGGCTAGTCCGAAGACCGCGTACAGCATGAAAAATCATTAAAGTTCCTCCCGGAAAGAGTCGATGGTGGTGGTCAGCGGACGAAAGAGTATGCGTAAGACGGAGATGGGATGAGAGGCATGCCAGCAACGATCATGCTGGGAAGGATGATCATTTCGTAAACCCTGTGTCTTTGTCAGTTGCCGTTCCATGAATGGGATGGAAGAGACTTACCACGCGGCTTGGCAGGACCCGATGTTTCCCCATCCAGGGTAATCGTCTCGAAAGTCCATCATTTCTTCGTCACTCTCGTCCCAATCCATGGAATTTCCCTCGTCGGAGATGGGAGAAGTGGGATCGGAAGGTTGTCTTGTCGTCGGAGTTGCGATTGGCCGAGATTCTGGTGGGGTTGAGGGGTTGGTGGGACGGTTTGCTGCTGTTGCTGCTGCTCGTTGTTCTGCCCACACCTTCTTCGCTCCAGAGACGACTGGTGCTGGTGCTGGCGCTGGTGCGGTGGTGGTGATATAGGAGGTCGTGGAGGGGGTGTTGGCAGTGTCCTTTCTTTTCTTCTCTTGCCAAAGTTTTCCAAGTAATTGAAACGATAATTTTTTGTCGGTAGTGTTGGTGGAGGAGGGTGCTGGCGAGGCACCGAAAGTGGTAGGAGTGGTAATATCCATTGGATGAGAAATTGAAGCTTGGAGAGTGTAGTCTGACGAAGGGTGTCTGTCTCGAAGTTCGAATGAAGCCAAGAGAGGAAAGAGAAGGGGATGAGAGGAACGAAGGACTTTATATCCATCTCGAGGGTTGAACGGATAATAGTACTTGAAGCTTTTATTGTCTCTTCTGGAACACTAGAAAGGAGGTTTTATACGGGACAATAGACTTTCATCGTCAATTGAGAATCGGACAATAGTGAATTTCGATAAGTTGCTTGTCGCGAACAGATTTGATGACAGTAAGGGTGCCGATGAAATTAACACAATACATAGATATTAACAAAGTATTAGAAGAACAAACAGAGCAAACAGAAAAGTTGACCAAAATGGGTGAAAATTAAAATAGAGATCGGACTACTTGACTAATTGCAAAGCGGACTTGAGTTCAGAACTCGGGATACTTGAACAATTGCAAAGCCGACTAGTGAGACTTCACCCGCAAATCGACCTTGTGCCTATACTACTTCTACTCGAGTCTGGTTCCGCGGATATCGAACATAGGCACTGTGCTCCAATGTATAATTCATGCCCACAACTTTTCTCCAGTGTAATTATCGGGGAAACTCGCTTTCTCATGCCTTGCTCTTTCATGAGTACAGAAATAGTGGACCTCCACCTCAAATCGCACCCTTTTCTTCCTCTAAACTCTCGTGAATAACAGCATTCAAGCTCCTCATGTCCTCAATCCCGCCACTTTCGCTGCCACTGCTGCTCCTCACATCTGACCCGGAATCAGTGCACCCTCCACACTGACATTCAAAGCCATAAATCTTTTCCAAATACTTCTTCTTGTGCCCATAGTCAACCGTCACCTCTTCACCTTCCAATAACTTGAATCGATTCCAGAAAACCATTCTGCCAATGCTCTCCTTCCATAGATAATGCGAGTTCGGGACACAAGAATGATTGATGCGTGACGCTGTCTCAAAGACACCAGTCGCAAGGTCGTTATTGATAGAATAGCCATTGCTGTAGACGATGCTGCGGCTCACAGATTCGTTTTTGTTACGTGAGAAGTGGTGGAGGGACAGAAACGAGGCTTTTTGAGTTGGGGAGAGCGCGTTGACGGCGATGTCCAAGGGATCGGCACGGGAACCGGTGTCGATGAGCGTTACGATGGGTGTTTCGCATAGGAGGACATTGCCAGGTTCGATGTCGTGGAGTGCGAAGACCCCAAGGCCCTTGGCTTCGGTGTCTCGAATCTCGATGAGGGTGCCCAGCGTGTCTGGGTACCGCAAGGGTATGGGAGAAAGAGACTCTGGATGACGTTCTGGTGTCGCGGGAGGTGTAGCGTCGTGTCTTATAGGTGGTGACAGCGAGATTGTGATGTCAAGGTTCTCGGGTTGAAGGGTGGGAGTGCTTGGCGGGGTTGTTGCTTCGGTGGGGGCCATTGAGGCAGATTCAGACTGATCTGGAATCATTGAACTATTTGGAAAGGTCTGTTAGCATATGTCCCTCAACTGCGAGAATATGAAGATAGTGTGCGAGTGTTTCGAAGCTTCAGTAGCGGCTAGGCAACAGCATATAGCACTATACTTGCCCTTCCTTACTCTTCCGAAAATATGGCAGCTGGCATGGCAAGGCTCTAGAAAGATAGCTAGGACTAAGAGTAAGTGGGAATAGGAAAATACATTGAAAAGCTTTTCTTCCACAAAATCCCGATGCCTAGGGATTTTTGACTTTCCACACTAAGCGAGATTTTCAGACAGCGCGATTTGAGCAAGGAAGAACTATTCCCCAAAAATCACAACGGAGATTGTTAGAGCAGAAGAAGAATGTTTTCATGCAGAATTTGGCACAACAAAACAAGATGTTTGTGATTCGCTACGATCTTGCAAAAATGTATGAAGAATTGGAGGTGGCCGGATTCGAACCAGCATCTGACACCTCGAAAGGAACTCCTCTATCCGTAGATACAGCCTCTCCACCCGAAGGTGGGACGGCAGGAGCTAGCCCAACGCGTGCATGTTCTACCATTGAACCACACCCCCGTTGTGTTGTTAGTCTTGGTCAGATCTTTGGGAAGATGTACGACTAGACCAAGCTAGAGGTGGAGGAAGCTGCCCTATTTGAACATATAAAGGCAACGTCCGGAAAAGCTTCCGCCTGATCTTGGTACGGAACGCAAAGAATATTCAGCTGAAATTTGGATGAAAGACAACGCCAAATAGTAACTGGCAAACATGTAACTCAAAGGTAAACGAAGACGGCTAAAGAGTGAAAGAGCAAAAGAGCATTATCCAGAACATAGATGACGGCCAAGTCGAGAGAAGAAACTCTTGCATTAGTAGTAGGGATTTTCTCCATAACCCACTTGAAGGCTCTAGGCTGTTGCTTCGTGTATTTGGCACCTCAAATTTCAACTTCAGACCGCATTACTTCCGGGTTTCGTTCTTTGACCTCCGCCATTGTCCAGAGTTCAGAAGGATCAAGCACAGATCCAGGGCAACGGCCCAATATCCATCCAGAAGGGTGATTCCATAAGCCTCTTACACCTTAACTTACATACACACTTCCGAAGTGTGCAACATGTTTTCCGAATACCATGCAAATGCCCCAAACTCCTAACGATGCCTTTTCCAAGGTCCACGAATGTCATCTATGTCGATCCTTGCTCAGCTGCCCCTCATCTCTCTTCGGGAAGCCTCCGATCCTCTCAGCTTTCTTCATGATATCTCTCCCCTTGTCACCCTCTCGATCCTCAATTGGCAGGCCCCACCATTCCTTATGGAACCTCTCCTGCTCTATCCTCCTCGCCTCTTTGGCCTCCCGCTCTCTCTGTCTTTTTAACCTGGTCGCAAACCACTCTTCTCTTGCTGCATCTTGTTCGGTCTGTGTAGCGTGGGTAATCATACAACTGTTCATGGCACGATTCTGTTGCCGGCATTTGAAAGGTGCGGTGAAGGTTCGTCCAAGGGCGCAGTCTGCGAATTCTACATGCAAAAGGCTTCAGCAAAGGATCAAGAAGCATATTGGATAATACAGACGTTTTATCTCAGCAGCACAATAACTTCTCACTCGTGAATGGTAGAGCTCCCGAACTTGGGCTTCTTGTGCAGCGGATAGTGGGAGAGGATTCCGAGATGGCATAGGCAAACGTGGAACTTCTTCCACCTCTGCTGGTGGAGGCACCATAGCTGCCATTAATCGCAACAGAAAGAATGCCCAAAAATTCGTGATTGGAGAAGATGGGAGGAAGTCGGATGTTTTGAGGTTGAGATGAAGCTTCGGGACTAGCGCTGGGTTCCGCGGCGGAGTGGCGCCGCGAAATTTCTCGAGGCTGAGAAAGTTCGTCCCGCATTCTCAGATAACTTCAAGATACCCACGACAAGACATTGCACCGCACGCACATCACAGCGTACTTCAGGGCATTCGAAAGTACTCCAATTCAAGCAACACCTCTTGTTCTCCACAACCCTCTGAAGGCAACGCAAGATGTCTTCCATGCGAAATGCCGTTCAACGGCGCAACCACAGAGAGCGGGGACAGCCAGAAGAGAGAGCAAAATGGGGTTTACTTGAGAAGCACAAGGCAAGCTCGTCCCAATTCTTGATTTTATTCTCTGCTAACAAGATCCAGGACTACTCCGCTCGCGCTCGAGATTTCAATCAGAAAAAATCAAAACTAAAAGCCTTGCGCCAGAAGGTTCTCGATAAGAACCCAGACGAATTTTACTATGGTATGATGTCCCGAAAGGGACCTGCTACAACGGGAAAGAATAGAACGGGGACGGTAAATGGAGATAGAGGAAATCAAGTGTTGAGTCAAAATGCGGCCAGGCTGTTCAAGACCCAGGATTTGGGATATGTAAGGACGATGAGGAATAAGGCTCTCAAAGAGGTTGAGGAGCTGGAGAAGAGGAGTTTAGGCATCAAAAGGGAGGGAAAGAAAATGATCTTCGTGGATGACGAGGAGGAGCAGAGACGGAAGTTGGAAGATGTCGAAATGGAGGAGGACGAGGATGTGGAGGAAGGCGATAGAGAGGCGAGGAGGTTGAGAACAAGGCAAGAGAAAGAGGCAGACAAATTAGAGGCCAGACTCACAGTTGCACGAGAGAGGTTAAAGGCCTTGACGGAAGCCGAAGAAGCGTTGGAACTGCAGCGAGCGAAGATGGCGAAGTCGCCAACGGTTGGAGGAGTCACAAAGCAAGGAGTCAAATTCAAGGTGCGAGAACGTAAGAGGTAAATGTCATTAATTGGTCCTCAGAACATGGCGAAAATTGCATGCTGAGCGTCATACGACCGATTGTTCCAGCGCCAGACCATGCTCAGATCTCCAGCGAATATTATATAATGGAGAGAAATCCGTTCAACCAGCTCCCAGCGCCAACCTAGGAGATATCAAGGCTTATTTGTGGCTTCTACAGCAATACGTGACGCCTTTGCCCATCAGAACCATGCACTTCCATAGCGCCTTGAAGAACATCCCAATCACCCAAAAGAAGCACTTGACCAGCATCCAGCACAGACCAAAGAACCCTGGAACCTTCTCATCGCCCTCTTTCTGCTTCTTGACCTTCACTTTCTCCTTCTTTAGGCTCACACTGTTCTGGCTCTCGAGATCGATCTCGAATTCTTCCATCTTGACAGATTTCCGATCGGCTTTCTTCGCCTTCTTGGGGAATTTCGGTGACATAGGAGACGCTGGGCCAACCGAAGGCGGTGCATCGAATCTCTCGACGTTCTTGGTCTTCTCTTCTGCAATCGCTACCAGCATAATGGCGCAAATTGCAACATCGACGACGTAGAAGCAATCAATTCGACTCGCAACTGCCGTATCGACTTCCAGATACCCAGACCCAGCACCATCTCGTACCAAGCGGACAATATTCCGTGGTAACTCGGAGTGCTCGAGGACGTATTCCACTCTTGACCAAGCGGGTGATGTAGCGATGGATACGACGAAGGGTGTGCTGAGAGCGGGGTGTACGAGATAGTATTTCCGGCTATCCTCGTCCCAGACTAAGCGTCCGCACTCTCGTTCTGCTGCTGCGAGGACTTGCTCGGCGTCTGAACGGTTCGCTTTGTTGATGAGGTCGATTGCCATATTTGACGCAGCGCGGGGATAGAGAAGGGCTACCAGGCCATCGTTGGGAGGCAAGCGCCGAGCCTCCTCTTCGAGTGTAGTGCTCATTACTTCCATTCCAGTGTTTGGTTTCGAAGATGTTGACAGTTTGGGCGACCCATTTTCTTTTATTGGTTTGTTAGGGTCTTGACGTGTCATTGTCATTTGTGCTGATGTGGATGTTGGGTCAAGGCGAAGCGTGTAGAATGGTTGCGAGGCGGAGGAAAGAGTGTGGACTGGCTCTTCGGCGGCAGTGGTCATTTTGAGACAGAATGACCGGCCTTCTGAGGAAGAGACTCTCCAGCCGTTGACGACTTTCCATAATTCCTTCAGCTCTTCAGTGCTTGATGGCTCCATGATCGTCTCATCCTGGACTCCTCTAGGAAAGCGACCTGCTGCAGCTCCTAGAGCCAGAGGACTCTGGAGACCAGCGGCACTTCTGCCGCTGACAATACTTGGGTCGTATGGCCTTCTGTTGATGATTGTCTTGGGTATGTTCGCCGGACTCGTCTGGGTTGGGAAGTATGGTTGGTGCTCAAGTGGAATTTCAGGATGATATGTTGGGAATATTGATCGGATGACTGGTTCTTCTCGCGGAGAAGTGGTAGTGGTGGCATTATTTGTAGGTTCGGTGTTCGAAGCATTGCTATCTCTTCGTACAAGTGTCGGGGCTTCAGAGAAGGAGGTTTGGGATCGTGGTATTGACAGGCCAACAGCTTGTGAAGGGACCGTAATGGGAGAGATTCTCTCGGCCGCCGGGGTTCGTCTTCCTTGTTGAGGGGTGTCACGGCCACTTTGAGGCGTCTGTCGGCCTTTTGGAGGAGATGATTGTGGTGTTTGCCGTCCTGTGCTCGTATTTGCTTGCGAGGGAGTCTGTCTACCGTTTGTGGTAGTCTGCTGACTGCTCTGGGGAGTTTGACGCCCTGAACTGGATTGTGGTTGTGTATCTCTTGGAGCAGGAGACACGCCTCGAGGTTGCGGGGTTTGACGACCTCCCAACGCTGACTGTCGACCATCAAGAGCAGACTGTCTTCCATCCAATGGCCATGCAGGAGTGGTTGATCTTTCTACGGCAGACTCTGGTGGTGACTGAGGAATGACAGCGTGTCGACGAGTACTCGGTTTCCTCGACGGGTTCGTACCCGTCGTCTTTTTCGGTTCGGGAGGAAATAATGACAATCCCATATTCCTGGGCTTATCAGGCACTGGCTTGTCAGACATGATGAAGAATGGCAAGGTATTCCAGATACTGCCTCAACAATTAGTTAACAAAAAGTACCAGGTCCGTACTTGGGCCATCGGTTTTCAATGTCTAGAAGGGCAGGAACCCAGTTATACATCTTTCTAGCTTCTCGTGCGTTATTCCCCGTCCCGCAACAGCAAGCGCCTGCAAAACAATTGTTCCAGTGCATCTGATTGCGATAGCGCGCAGAGAGCTATTCATAGATTTGGTGTGCTTCCCGCCAGCGAGTCGCTGTCCTTGTACGTGGGGTAAGACCCCTGGCAGCCGCAGATGCGGTGTGATAGCGCAGATCATTGGCCGTTCGGGATGCAAAGCGCTTTTCGCGAGTGTGCGACAGGGGCTTGGTAGCGCTGCAGATTTCTGTGGAGGGGTAGATCATGTGATTAAGCTTAAAGGGATGAGGTGTCTTTCGATGTATCACCAGTATTTGTATGCGGGGGAGAGACATTGAGGAATTGAGGAGAGACTCTTGATTTAAGAAAGGGCTCTAGCGTTTCCAAAGAACAAGCATATTTACACCGCTAGCTAGTCAATTCCTAGCAAAATGCGTTCACCGCGGTCACGTCGCGAGTAAGCTGAACTATCTGAAACATACTGTCGGTACCTCGCACAGCATCCCACTGAAATATAAGGTGCTTACAAACCAATAAGATCCTAGCAACTCCTATTGGAATGGTAGCCTCG